GGGTTAACCCTGTGAGCGCTTGTGGAAAGTGGACGGCGGGGGCTCAGTTTGACAGTGGGCCTGACAGGCCCCTGCAGTGCCGCAGCGCTCCCTAGCAGCGGGCCAGACCCAAGTTGGGGGCGGGGGGCCCCCGATGAATTATGAACACTGCTCTCTGCCCTGCCTGGGGCTGCATCCGCGCGAGTGGGTTTTGGTTGCATGAGGAAGGCTGCAGCCGAAGCAATGGTGTGAGTGTAAGCCGCTGGCGAGCGAGTGTTAGGGGTCCCCCGTGTGCCTGTTACAGCTGTAGCAGCTCATGTGCGTAGCTCCGGAGGCTCCCAGTTCAGGCCCTGGCGTGGCAGCGATCACACCAGCGCTAGGGTGTTGGTGGTGGTTGTTTAATATCCACATTGCAGTCGTGCCAAAGGCTCGCCACGATGGTGCCCCGCTGCGCTAGGAGCTGTACAAGCACATACTGCACAACAGTCCCAAAGATGAGACCTGGCTGGGGTGGGAGGGACGAGGTCATAAAGCTTGCAGGATGTGCAGGATTCCCAGGCTGGAGCTGTGACCACAGCCCAGCGCTCGCTGACGGCAACTCTCTGTAGCATTCTGGCAGAGGTGAGCCAGGAAGGGGGACACCAGGGTGCACACGGAGCTGACGTTTCTAGGGGAAGGGCAGTGGAGGGGTTAGGGTGCCCCCCAGGACCTGGCTCCAGTGACCTGCTTCCCCCTGGACTTCCAGCAGAGACCGGGGATTGTCTCCACGGCCGTGCGAGCTGTGACTGCAGCACATGCAGAACCCTGAGCTGCCCTGGACCTAGCTAGCGTGGAAAACAATAGCAGCACGAGCGCGCAGCACGAGCGCACAGCCCCGCCTGGGACCCTGAGCCCGCGCTGGAGCAGTCACACCGCCCGGCTCCTGTTCCCGGAGCTGGCTGGCTCCGAGCTAACTGTGCGCTATGGCTACCTGTGCTGCATTCACACCTCTGATTGCAGTGCAGACGTGCCCATGGTGCTAAGCTCTGCACGTTTGCTGTGCCGCCGAGACTTTCGCCGCCTTTGGAGGTCTCCCATCCTGCTTAGCGTGGGACGTCTGGGGGGGGCTTGCCGCAAGGTTGGACTCCCGGGGGGCCTGGCGGGCCTGGCAATGCTCCGCAGGCGGATGCAGTCTCTGGAGGTTGCGTTGCTTCTCTGCGAGGTGCTGCAGAGAGAGACCTGCCCTCTCTCCCCACGTAGGAATCGCCCCCTGGGTCGCTTTACTGCGGTAAATGTTATTAAAAGCTATTAAGTTTTCTAACTGGTCTCAATTCCCCCATCTGCGGTGGGCAGAGTCCACGAGCAGGCGGCTTTCCTTTTATTTCCTCTCCGCTCTTTATACATTCACACACAAAAAAACGATTAAACTTTTATTATAACTTGCTGCAAAACGGCTCTGAAGCCTTCAGAGGCTGCAGCCGCAGCCGTAAACACCAACAGGGCCCCGTTAATAAATAAATAACCATTGACGGAACGTGGCTGCGTTCTCGTCTCGTTAAGGCGCTGAAATAAACTAATTTTAGCGGCTGCGGCTGATAAAATGAAAGAATCAAAGCCCACAAGAAATGTGCACTCGGGTGGTTTAAGAACCAAAGAACAGCTGCAGCCCCTGAACGAAAGACGGGATTTTATACATGGAAGAGGAGTGTTCTCAGCTAATCGGCAGGGAGGGATCTTCCCGGGGGCCAGGCACTAGACCAGGATCACCTCCTGCTTTGCCTGGGCCAGAGAGCGTCTCTGCCTGGCTCTGGGTGGTGCCTTAGACAGAATTCAGTCCCTCGGGCTGGGGTGGAATTTCTGTCCATCTCCGTGTCTGCAGAGCGCCCAGCACAACATGCCCCTGGTCTCCCTGGGAGCCTGTAGGTGCGACCGGAGTATGTCACAACTCAGTGCTGTATTGGGAGGAAAGCTGGTGTTTGTTAAATACCCGCTGATGGATGGGCGTTGCTAGCGACCTGGGTGCTGCTCTCTGCGGTAGCAGTCCGCTCAGAGCCACCTCTCGCTCAGCCGGCGGTTTGTCTATCCAGAACCGGTGCACGGGGGCAATGCGCCAGCCAGGCCGAGACACCACGCGCAGCCAAGTGAGCAAGCAAATTGCATTTGCAAAGATCTTCACACGCGTCTTGTAACAATTGCTCACCCCGGGCTACGGACACTGCTGCAGCGTGTGGCGGGGGAGCGGATGCTCACCGCAGCCTGGCAGAGGAAAGCAGGAAAAGAGAGCTCCCGGGGCAGGCAGAGGATAGGGAAATCAGGCTGCAGCGTGACCCTTCCTCACGGGACACAGAGCTGGAGATCTGCGGCCGGCGCCTGTGCTCCGCTGCTGTGCGATTACGGCAAACTTTCCTCTGCCGGGACGCTGCTGCATTACGAGTACCTGGTGTGCACGGCACAGGCAGCAGTGGCGTAGCCAGGTTCTAAGAGAGGGGGAGCAAACATAAAAAAGGCGCCCCCCCTGGCTCCTCCTCTGGCCACGCCCCCTGGCTCCTCCGGCCACGCCTTGCTCCCCCCTTGGCTGGCTCCTCCGGCCACACTGCGGCCATGCTGCGCCCCGCCCCCTTGCTCCTCCGGCCGCGCTGCCCCCCATGGCTGTAGAGGAAGGCTGGCAGAGGACGGGAGGGATGTAGAGGGAGGGTGGCAGGGGACAGGGGGTTTGAGGGGAGGTGAAGGGGAGGATGTGGAAGGAGGGGGACAGGGGGGTTGACTTGAGGGGAGGTGGAGGGGAGGATGTAGGGAGGGTGGCAGAGGACAGGGGTACGAGGGGAGGTGAAGGGGAGGGAAAGGCAGGGGCACGGGGTACATGGGAGGGGTACACGGGGTGGGGGGGGGCTGGCCCGAGGGGGAGCAGGGATGTGTGTCTGGCCTGGCACTGGGCCCTGCAGTTTGTGTCACCATTTCTATGGGTACGTCGGTGTCTAGCCAGGTGCTGAGGAAGCCTGGCCCTGCCCGGGGTTTGGAGCCACTTGTCACAGGGTTTACACGCCCGTAATGCTGGGCAGTGGGAATTGCTCGTTCCCCAGCCCAGGGCGGTAGCGGCGTGAATTCCCGCTGTCCCGTCCTCCTCCCATAGGGTGCAGGGTGGGACCAGGGCACTGGGGCAGAAGCAGCCCAGAGACATCACTGCCACACCAGGAATTAAACAGCCCATGAACTCGCCCCTTTCAAAGTGTGGCTGCATAAACAGAGCCAGCATCGAACCTGAGCCGGCGCGCGGGGATGAACTGGGAACCAGTGACGTATCCTGTGTGCTTCGTTTCCTCTCCCCAGCTCGCCCGCTCCCTCTCCGCAGCTCGCCCGCTCCCTCTGTAGCATGGACCCGCCTGTGCTGTGTGACACGTATGTTCGGGGTCAGCAGCACGGTGTGGGGCCGGCTGTCCCAGGACGGAGTGCCCCTCTGCAGTCCGTTCGCCAGCAGCTACGCCGGCCCCGTGTGATGGGGGCTGCTCACGCACACACAGTAGACCTGGGTGAAATTTCTCCGAAGAATATTTTATTCAGCAAAAAATGCACTTGTGGTCGACTTGAACTGATTTGTGACTCTGACATGAATAGTTTTGGCCACTCGTAAAAGGGCTGCGGGAGGAGGAGATGGGGGGAAGGGGGGAGTGTTGCTCCCTAACCCCCTGGGCTCATGATTTCTCGGGGATTAGGGTGCTCACCTGGGAGGTGGGAGACGCAGGTTGAAATCCTCGCTCTGGAACAGACCCAAAGTCACCCCAAATTCCGCTTCCATTTGACCCAAAGTGAAACGTTTTTTTCTTTGGTCCGTTCATGGCTGTTCCAGTCGGCGATAAGCCCAGTCCTAGTAGAGGGAGGCGGTTCCTTGCCCCTAACAAACACACAGGGTGACTAGATAAGACGGACAAAAGAAAAAGGGGCCCAGAGAGGCTGGGAATAGAAGGCAGATCTGCTGAGTCTCCATCCAGCGCCCTACCTGCTAATTCACACTCCCGCCTGGGCACAAGGCTCGCCGGCAGGTTCCAATGCAGTGCCCAGAATCTAAACGTTTGTTTAAAAAAAACAATCACAAAGCTTCTGGCTGTAACCCAATTGCCATCCACTCGTTGAGATGAATGGATTGAAACAACCCCCTGCGCGCACACACTCCTGCTGCCCTGTGGCTCGCGTATAACAGGCCTCATTGTCACTCACCCGGTAACCCCTTTGCACGGTGCTGGCAGCACAAACAGGCCTGGTTGTAAGTGAGTATCTGCTCCCACACTTAGTGTGATCAAAAGGAGGAGGGGAGCTGGATGCAGTGAATATGCTCCAATGAGTGACTAATGGCTGCCGATGCTGCCAGGCCAGCTGCCTGCTCACTTCCCCATCTCTCTGGTGCGGAACGAAGATGCTTTCTCCTTGCATGCCTGTAATTCATTTAGCACAATCATCTTTTCATTATGGGCAGGAGGTGCAGAGCTGGGAGAGGGCCTCGTTAATTAAACTGAGATCAGGGAAGGGAGCAGGGCGTATCAAATCAATTCTGGCCAACTCTGTGCAGAATCCAAATGGAAAAGTCACCTGCAGCCTTCCCAGGGAAGGCAGAGGAGTGCGGCGCTAATGAGGCATCTCCCTGAAGCGCTGGTATTAAATCAGAGCTTTGTTCTGTTCCCGGGCCCTTATTAATAACACTCAGAACAATTCCGGTGGCCAACTCTTCCCCCGCTCTCGTCAGCACTGAGCTACGATTTGGGATCTATATTGCATGGAGCTGGGTTGTTTTGCACGTTGGGGAAGGAGCTGGACAATCCTGCAGGTCCTGAGCTCCGGGCTTCAGGAAGTAGAAATCGTGCTGAATTTCTGCAGAACTTCAGTTTGTGTTGGAGAGAAACCCCTGGGAATGGAGCTCGAGAGAGAGAGCGCGTGTCCCACAAATGCACCGCGTGTGCTCGCCTGTACCGGTCCCCAGCGCTGCTCTGGGAAGGAGGGGCTGCACGACTCAGGAGAGCCCCTGCTCTCACCGCTCCATTTGGCTTTTCCAGGTGCAGAACATCTCCCAGTCCATGGAGGTGCTGGACCTGAGAACCTACCGCGACCTGCAGTACGTGCGCAACACAGAGTCCCTCATGAAGGGGCTGGATTCCAGGCTGAAGGTGGCCACCGAAAGCCAGAAAAGCCTGAACACTAAAAGTTTCCAGGTAAACCCTTTGCAGATTCCTGTTTGCCAGTGGTCTAGCTGTCTGGTACTGCTGCCCTTGGGCACTATCAGCTACGCCAGGAGTGCCTGGAGCACAGGGCTGGGTGCCGCTGTTATGTGGATACAGCTGAGGATATGGGGCAAGAGGCAGGGAGGCATAAGTGATGCCCAGGCCTTGGTGGGATTTGAGCATCGAGGTGGCTTTGAAAATCCCATTCTGCATCTGCTAGGAGTGCCCAGAGGCACCAACTGCGACCAGCACCCCATGGCGCCAGGTGCTGCACAGACACAGTGCGAGACAGTCCAATGGACAAGGCAGACTAAGGCCTTGTCTGTGCTCATGTCCTGCTGCTCTAACATGCCAGCCACAAACTGCCCTAGGCCCAGTCGGCGCTAGGAATTTGGGGCCGTATAACTGCGTCGCTCAGGGGCGTGAAAAATCCGCGCCCCCGAGCAACGTGGTTAAACCGACCTAGCCCCTGGTGTAGACAGAATTCTCCTGTCAGCCTCGCTACCGCCTCTCAGGGAGGGGAGTGCCTGCGCCGGTGGGAGACCCCTGCTGTTGGCCGAACATAGCGTCTTCAAACGCTGCAGCGGCGTGGCTGTGGCATGTCCGTGTTAAAAGCACTTATGGTAGTGTCGCTTATTCTGCTCTCTGCTGCCTTATGTGCTTTCTTGGTGGCCTAGGCACCAACTTTCTCCGGCGCCGGTGGGTGCCTGCGCCCCCCTGTCCCCGCCCCGACTCCACCCCATCCCCGCCCCTGGCCACCACCCCCATTCCAACCCCATCCCCAAAGGCCCCGCCCTGACTCCGCCCCCTCCCTGCCCCTATTGGATCCCTTCCCCAAATCCCCGCCCCAGCCCCGCCTCTTCCCCCAGCGCACCGTGTTCCCCCTCCTCGCCCCTCCCTCCCTGCCCCGCGAATCAGCTGTTTCGTGGCGCAAGCGCTGGGAGAGAGGGGGAAGAAGCAGGCCGCGGTGGTGCACTCACGGAGGAGGTGGAGGTGAGCTGGAGCAGGGGGGCGGGGCCACGGGGAGCTGCCGGTGGGTACTGAGCACCCACCAATTTTTTTCCCTGGGTGCTCCAGTCCTGGAGCACCCACGGAGTCGGCACCTATGCCTGGTGGTAGAATTGCTTCTACACTGGAGATTCTTACCAGCAGAGAGATGTCGGTGGGAAAATCACACCTCGCCAAGAAGGGGCGGGGAGTGGAATCACCCTGCCCAGGTCTCTATTCCCAGTCCAGAGCCTTAGCCACATTTAGGTGTCCTTAAATAAATGCATGAGTCAATGACACAGGGCTCTGTCCAAGCAAATGTGCTATTGCTACCCCGCAAGTGACAACCAGCTGCCATGTGCCATCATGGGAGCACTCTGTGACCAAACCCCGAGTGAGCACCAGGCTGATCCCTATGCCCGGGACCTTCCCTCTCCCCCTGCAAGCCCCCAGCCAGGGAATGGGGTTCTTTCTGAAGCCGTCAGCATGAGCCTGACAGACAAAGTGTGTTTGTGTCTCCGGAGCAGCCAGTGCCGAATGCTGAAACCCGGCCAAAGGAAGCGTAGGCAGAGCGGGGACCCGGAGCTGACAGTCGCAGAGACGAGACAGTGATTAAACATCTGAGCTGTAGCAAATGTCTTGGTGGGTTTAATCACAGCGGCAGGTGCCAGGCCCCTGGGAGTGGAATACGATCCTGTCAAGAGGCAGGAGTTGTGGCCCAAGGACGCCGGCTGGGAATCAGGGCCCTGGCGAGAAATGGAGAGAAAAACATCAGTTGATGGGAGCTGGAGGCTGAGGATTGGTCTAGGTCAGCGGCTTCCAGGAGATCCCGGCTAGCAGGCGAGCTCCTGAGGGGCGGCTGCAGGCACCAAAAATGCCTCAAAGGAGGATGAGGTAGGGTGGGGCCTTGCACCTGGTGAGTGAAATTCACTCCCGGGGGGGGGCCACCCCCAGGCCCGCCCCCGGCCCCCCCCCCCCCCCCCCCCAGCCCTTCACTCCAGGGGATGGGCCAGCCCCAGGCCTGGCCCCCGTCTCCCCCCAGCCCTTCACCCCAGGCAGGGCCCAGCACCAGGCCTGGCCTCCCACCCTTCACCCCAGGGGATGGGCCAGCTCTGGGTCTGAGCCTGTTGTATTAATCTGAGTGGAATAAAGGCCCCAAGAGTGAAAGGTGTTAACATGACCCTGTTGCTGTCCAGGGTTCGGGGCTGGCCCGGAGACCGCAGCCTGCTCAGTGCCATGGCAAACGCACTGGGATGAGAATTGTGCTGGGGGAAGGAATGAAACCCAAGCAAAAGGCAGCTTGAAATTGAACTGAGTGAAGATTGAAAGCAAACGTAACCCCAGCCTAGCACCGTCTCTCTTCGGAGACTGGATATCGGTGAGCGTCTCATGCTGTCCAGCCCTCCGAGGTGGGGAAGGAAGCAGTGGTCAGTTCTGGGCTGGGAGCGGTGGGCACCTGGCTGCTTTTGACCAACCAGACCCAGGAGGGGGAGCAGCACTAGGCCAGTAAAGATGGGGAAATACGGCTTTTGTTCTCTGAATGCAGGGCGGCTGCTCCGTCACGGAGGGATGTGTTGGGCTGGCGGGTCACCCACCACAGCTGTTCCTCTGGACCCCGGCTCACCTCCCTGGTCAGGGATGTTGTCAGGTCCCTCCACTGGTCCTTGTCTGGCTGGGAGGAGCTGGCCGGGCCGTCTCATCTCGCCATGCGGTGCCGGGCAGGGCACCTGATTCCAGGATCAGCGAACAGACGACGGAGAGGACAGGGGGAAGACGGGGTGGGGTATGGTCACACGAGGGAGGGGAAGACGAAGCAGGATCAGACATGTCCATCTGGAGTCCTCGCTGGTACAGCGATGGTGGTCCGGTGTCCCCATAGGCAGGCCAGTCATCCAGGTTTAAACCGGACAGGCCTGTTTTTGGAGGAGTTTGTCCCTGTCGGGTTCTGGATCCTGCTGGGTTTAAGGCCTTTGACTGGCCCACTGCATGGGGGCGAATTTCACCCCACACGAGCAGCGGCAACAGAAGGTGAATGCTGCAGCGCGAAGCATCTTCATGTGTCCGTGACTAGGGAGGCCCACGGATCTCAGTCAATCTGTAATGTGGCTGCCCTGGCCCTGGGCCTGTTCCCATCGCCCACTCCCCAAAGACAGGCTCCCTGCACCCTCCCATGGCTGGCCTGCCCTAGGCACACCCCTGCCTGCTGCCCCCCGACTCTGCCGACTGCAGGTGGGGGACACACCTAGCTGTGAAGCAGCTAGTGCTGGTCACTCTAGATGACGGGATACTAGGGTAGATGGAGCCTGGAGCTGCTCCGGTCTGGCCATCCCTGTGTCCTTGGTACCTCTGCCAGGAACGCGTAGTGCTATCGGGCTTGCGAGGTGGAGGAGCTGTCTCCCACAGAAGGGACGGGAGCTGCCGAGAGTGAGATGCTGGCTGGAAAGTTGTTTTCACATCTCTTCCTCCCTAATGAGGGAGCTTGTGGCATCCTTACCCAGAGCTGCCACCTGCCTGTTAGCGAGCCGCACACATGAATATTTCATCCTGTTTTCTCCCCCGACGGTGCTTTGAACAGTCCTGCTCGGTGGAATCAAAGCGCGACAGGTACAGACAGACCCTTCAGGAGCCCGTCATTCCTCTCTGCAGCAGAGGCGGGCGTCTATTCCGTGAGCATCGAAAGTGCTGAAAGGGGACGCGGCAGCCATGTGTGCAGGGGGTGCCTTGGGGTTCAGCTGCATTTTCATTCCAGCTCGGCTAGAGATGCTCCGACAGCCAATATGTACATTCAGAACTCCCCCCTCTCCCCACCTCAGCCCCCCGACCTGGCAAACTTCAGCTGGCGTCATTAGCAGAGTCTGGACCCACGGCCTTCAGCACGCGATGTTTTCAAAGCAATGCCTGATTGTGAAAGCCGCCGTTTGGGACCCCGAGTGGTGAGCTGCCTCAAAGGGACGCTGTGGTAAGTGCGTGTCCCTGGAGATCAACTGGGCCACCCAGTTGCCTGTGAAAATGTCAGTGGTTGAGCTGCCACATGAGCTAAGGGAGCAGCTCCTCCGGCTAGTATCTGTAGTATGCTGTTCACCTCCCATGTGCGCTGGAGACGGACAAAGCCCCTGCTGTGTTCGTGTGGATTACTGATCCTTCTGGAGATGGTGCCATGGAGCCTGGCATGGCATGGCGGGGTCCGGTGAAAGGTGACGGCTTGCCAGCCCCGGGCAGAGCATGAAACAGATTTCACAGGGGAGGCGGCAAGGTGAGGTCCCCTCTCTTGGGCTGTCTGCAGTGACCGTGTGTAGAGGAGCTCCGAGACCCATGGCCATTACAGCTGGAAAGACCCTGCCGGGCTACCTTGTCCCATTTCTGCTGGCCAATACGGGCGTGTTCCCTGTTGCTTATTCTCCCATGATCTGCGGCCTCCGCCATGCTATTTTCTTTTTCTCTAGCGTCTTCTGCATGGCCACGAGCCTTCCCCAGCTTTGCAAATCCCAACTGCAAAAATCAGCATCCATTGCTGGCGTCCTAGCGTTAGCAAAGGGGGCTGCGAAGTTGGAGAGCGTTCACAGGAGAGGGACTCGAGGTCTGAGAAACCTGCCTGACAGCGAAAGGATAATCTGCTTGACTTACTGAAGAGAAGGTTACAGCGCGGCTTGATCACGGCCTAGAAGTGCCTACGTGGGGAGGAGATTTCCGATCGCAGGCAAGGGCAGAGCAAGAGCCAACGGCTGGAAGCCGGCACCAGACGAATTCAGCGTAGAACGAAGACACACGTTTATACCAGTGAGGGGACTGATCGTTGGAACAGCTGACCTAGAGGTGCAGGGGATTCTCGTTAGACCGCAGGCCACTGGGCGGGATGCCGGGCTCCTGGGGGTGCTCTCTGGCCCGCCGGAGGTCACACTAGACTGGTACGTCTGGGGCTGGAGTTAACGCGGCACCTTTACAGGCAAGCCCCTGCCGCTCAGCTCTTGCCAGGAGCCCTTTGGTCCTGCCTCCACCAGCTCCGCTCAGGAGTCAGCAGAGGAGACAGGGCCCTGGGCGAGCGCCAGGCTGACACCGGGAGAAGGGCCCCGCGTTTGCAATTAAAAATAAGTAAACAAACAAATGCTTTTCCCTGCAGCCCCTGGGGAGGAATCTGTGCTGATAAATGACTGCAGCCCGGCGGCCTCCCCAGCCTCTTCTCCAGTCAATCACCTTCCCCCAGTCGTTTTTCAGGTGCTGCTGTGATTAGAAACCATTTGCTGGGGAGTAATGGCTGTTGATTTCTGCAGCAGATGGGAGAGGAACTGTAACCCAGCCAGCGCCACCAGGCAGCGGCGCGGCCAGGAGCTGCAATCTCCCCACTGCAGCTGGGACGGGAGCATGGGGGTCTCAGTGACCCAGGCATTTGTGCCTAATTGACCCCACGTGAGGTGCACCCTGTGCTGAGACGGGCGCTGGGGGGTGCCCCAAGCCCCAGGGATGAGCTTGGGGCTGAGCAGGGTCAGAGACAGAAACTCTAAATAGCCCCCCCCCCAAGGGTGCTCTGGGCAGTCCCATTCCCCAGGCCAGTGTCTGTCTGTCCAGCCCTTACACACCTGTCTGTCTGTCGTCTGGGCCTCCCAGATCTGCGTCATGCCGTGCCAGCCTTAGTAGCCGCCCAGCTGGCCCGTGAAGGGTGCGTCTAGTGACGAGAGCAGGGACTGGCAATGGGGAGCCGCTGGGCTGTAATTCGGCTCCGGGCGGGGGCCGTGTTGTAGTGGATAAGAGCAAGGCGCTTGGAGGCAGGACTCCTGGGTTCTTTTCTGCTCTTTTCCCATGTGACTGTGGTTAAGTAACATCACTGCTCGGTGCCTCAGTTTCCCCCTGTAGGGTGGGGCTAGGGACTCTGGCCCACCTCCCGGGGCGCGTGAAGCGCCGTTAATTACCCGCGGGGCCCACTGCTCCCAGTCCTGGCGGGTGGGGCCCCGGGGAAGGCTGTGTGTTGCCAGGCTACATGGAATGGCTGAAACCCTTCCCAGCTGTCGCCGGGGCTCAGGGTCCTCGCGGTTATTGGCACTGGCGTTGCCAGCAGCAGCGGGGAGCAAAGTGGGGCTGGGATTCGCGCTGGCTCTGGGTCAGAGCCGCCTGCGTTAGGGGGGGAGAGAGGAGCCGGAGCTGGAGCCATTCTCCCAGCAAAGCCTGCAAGCCCCTGTCCCTGGCTGCTGAGACGGGCTGTCCCCAGTGCTGCAGCCAGGTTAGGGAAGGTCTCCCCGCTCTGTGGGATCCCTTCCTGCTTCACTGGGGCGGGTCTGCCAGGCTGCAGGGAGGGCAGGGGTCAGGACAGACCCCCGGCCAGCTGGCAGGACACAGCCCCCAGGGCCCAGCACCAGCTGCCTGCAGAAGGGAGCCTGGCGTAGGAGAATGGGGTTGTACAGATCCTTTGCCAGTGAATTGATGGAAACAGGCACTCGGGAATGGCCTTGAACTCTCCTGCTTCCAACCTCTAACATCCAGAGGTCATGGGGGGACTTCCCCAGGGGGCAGATTATCCCAGTGCTGCCTCCGTGGGGCTTCATGCCCCTGTCTCTGGGGCAGCTGGTCCTGGCCCCTGGTGGAGACGGGATACCAGGCCATTCCTCTGAGCACTTCCTCCTGCCCAGCTCCGGAGGGAGCCTGGCATGGTGCTGGCTAAACCTCGCCGCCCTCCGGGGCTGATGGCTCAGGTCCAGGGCCAGCTGTCAAAGCATAAATCAAGGGAAGAAGCCCTGGCAGGTCTGGGACCCGACTGCTGCCAGGCGAGGTCCCTCCGGCTTGCTTTGCAGCTGCGTGAGGTGAGAGCTGTGGGCCCTGGCTCGCTCACTGTTAAGCACCGCAGAGATGCAGTAACATGCAGGAAAGAGAAGGGGAATCGCTGTCTCCCGGCCTCGTGGGGCTGCTGAGGGCGAGGAGACGCTTGCTGAAAGGCAGGTGGATTTATGGAGTCCTTGAGTGGAGGCGACGTGGAGAGCGATTTCCAGCCAGGCCCAGGTCAGCATGGCCCAGGGGGAGCCAATGCCGAGATCTGCTCGGCTCAACCCCTCCTGCCTCAGCCCAGGGAGGTGACTCTCAGGCCGGGGCCGCGCTACGGACGTACGTTGGTACAACTGGGTCGCTCGGAGGGATGAGAAACGAGCGCATCGTTATACCGACCTGCCCCTGGTGTGCACAGCGCGATGGCGGCAGCAGGACGTCTCCCGACACCAGTAACTACAGGAGCTCGCGTGGTGGCGTAGGAGCGTCTTCTCCAAAGTGCTGCCGCAGGGCCGATGCAGCGTTGGAAGTGCAGACCCGCCCTCAGCAAATCCAGCGCCCTAGCACAAGTGGGCAGAGTTTGCTGTTAACCAGAGCGGCTGGTGGCTGGTGGGGAAGAGGAAGCCTGTGCTCCGAGGCTGTAGCTCAAAACGTCAGAACGGCCAGACTGGGTCAGAGCAAGGGTCCATCCAGCCCAGTGTCCTGCCTCTGACAGTGGCCGATGCCAGGTGCCCCAGAGGAAATGAACAGAACAGGTAATCATCCAGTGATCCAGCCCCTGTCGCCCATTCCCAGCTTCTGGCAAACAGAGGCTCGGGACACCATCCCTGCCCATCCTGGCTAATGGCCATTGATGGACCTGTCCTCCATGAACTTCTCTAGTTTCTTTTTGAACCCTGTTCTAGTCTTGGTCTTCACAACATCCTCTGGCAAGGAGTTCCATGGGTTGACTGTGCGTTGTGTGAAGAAATACTTCCTTTGTTTGTTTTAAACCTGCGGCCCATTAGTTCCATTGGGTGACCCCTAGTTCTTGTGTTACGAGAAGGAGTAAGTAACAGCTGCTTTTACTAGGGATGGTTGGGGCTGGGGGCCGGCCTCATGGGGTGAGTTCTCTGGCCTAGGTGGTTCAGGGCAGGCTCTGTAATCACAGGGGCTCCTTCTTGGCAGTGAAATCGCCGGCTCTTCGCCAGTACGGCCTTCCTACCTCCCAGGGCTCCACCAAGATCCTGAAACTGACGAACGAGAACATTTCCTCTTGCTCAATGATTCTCCACCGTTCCCCCAAGGTGACCCTGCTTCGCAGGCAGAGACTCTGGCCGAGCCCCCTCCCCTCACAGGAGGAGGCTGCGCCAAGCGAATCTGTTTGTGCGTTTGAGTCGGGATGTTGACAGGGAATACTTGACCTGGCAGGGTCCAGGAGTGCGAGGAGAGTCCCAGAGCCCAGACATCCACGCCGCAATTAGACAGCCCCTGGAGCCCGAGTCAGCTGGCACCGGCCAGCCGCGGGTTTGGAATTGCAGTGTAGACGTACCCTAAAAGCTCAAACACCAGGACACAGGTGCTGTGCCCCGGCTGGAGAACTGCCCCGAGCAGAGCAGCTGGTTCCCGCCGGTGAGTCACTTGTCCGTTTCCCCCTCACCCCTGCATCTTCGTTGTGCTCTTGCCTGGCAGATTTATCGCCCGGTTTCAAAGAGCAGCGCTCCAAGGGCGCAAGTCTCCAGCCTGCCCGCGGCCCCGAGGCCGAAGGCAAGTAACACGCAGCGCCTCCGGTGCATGGTGTGGGTGGGGCGTTGTTCCTGGGGAGCCCGCGGCATCTCCGATTAGATGTGCGTCCGGCCGCGGCCACTCCCTGGGCAGAGGCAGGCATGGTAGGCGGAGGGGGAGGCAGCTGATGCAGCAGCAGTCGCCTGTCCATGCCAAGCCCGTGCCCTGGCAAGCCCAGAGGTGGCACCTGAGGCTGGTATGGAGGGACGGGGGTGTCTGTACTTCTGTCCACAGCACTTGGGCACAATGGGGCCTCTGTGGAGCAGCCCAGGGTGAGTGACACGAACCTTGGGCAATGGCCTGGAATTGCAGCTTCTGGACTGTCAGTGGGGAGCTCAGTGACAGGCCCCCCCTTCCCCCCTGCCCACCCCCAGCCTCGTGCCTGGCGGGAGCTTTGCTCGGCTGCTTCCTGAAGCACCAGCACGTGCCCCGAAGCCTTTCTCCAGCCCTGGAGTTCCCAGCAGCTCCCCAGCTCTGCAGCAGTTAAACCATCTCTGCTGCCGTCCACGGGCTCCTGGCATCGCAGGAGGCAGCGCGTTCCCTTGGGTGGGGCCCTGCAAAGGGACCCAGGACTCCTGGGTTCTAGTCCTGGCTCTGCTGGTGACCTTGGCCAAGTCACTGCCTCCCTCCATGCCCAGAGAGCTCTTTGGCACAGGGACTGTCTCTCTTTCTCCATCGGCGCAGCCCCTGGCACGCTGGGGCCCTGATCTCGGTTGAGGTGTCCGTGTAGCACCACAGAGACCAGGGCTCTGACTGTCCCCTTGAGAGCTCAGCGTGTTCTGGACACACGGTTCCTGTTGGTTTCAGTGGGGGTTGTCTCTGTGCTCGGATGCAGGGTCTCAGGGCTTGGCCGCGGGGGGTGGAGTGCCAAGGAGTTAATCCGCAGGATGGAGTCCCTCACTCGCTCCCTCCCCCCGCCCCAGCTCTTGCTGTGAATGTTGACTCCCACGGGGTGGCAATTAATTCTCAGGGCTGCTGGCTGCCTGCAGAGCCCAGCCTGGGTTTTTCCACTCGCAGAGGGACGTTCAGCTGGGAGCTGGGAGCCTGACTCATTCCCGCTCAGCTGCAGCCGTCTGCATTTAGCTCCATGGCGGATTCAGTCCCGTCATCCTGGACGGTGATGTTGGTCACTGGCTTTATCTCCCCTAGTTGAAGGGTATTTTTCCGTGATTTCAAGTCAGGCGTTGTTGTGCATCCAGATCACAGCCACATGCACACACCCAGTGCTATTGCATTGCCCCCTCCTCACTGCGCGCGCGCACACACACACACCTCCCCCCCCGCTGGCTTTGCCCTCCCCCCACGTGTCCCTGAGGCTGGATCCTGGCAGCTCCGCTCATTCCAGGGCCTTCTCTTTCACACTCTCCACTCCAGCAGCGGTCATAAAAAATGCAGCAGCAATTACTGGGCCGGCTTTCCAGGGCTCGGTGTGGTGTCGCTCTGTGCAGCCAGCCTTGCCCAGGACGCCGCGCAGGCCTGTAAGATGCAGGGCCTGGGGAGGGCAGAGGAAATGACCGAGGCCAGCAGCAGGCAGGACCTGCGCAGTGTCTCGCCACCGGCGTGGGACGGCTGAAATCATGGAAATGTGCTGGGGGGGGCACAAAGCACCACGCGCAGCAGCGTCTGGACTCAGAGAAGCAGTGGGAACTAGCACTCCCATGGCCCTGGGGCCCGATTCCCCTCCCTCTCCCCCCTGGTAACACCACTGTTCTCCTGGGGTCGCTGGGAGGAGGAGGACCGGCCCCCGAGTGCAGACGGGCCCATGGGAGCACCTTGGCTGGCTGCGTAGTGCAGACCAGAGCTCCCCTCCCACGGGCTAGCACAGATCTTGTAGCCAGCCACCAAAGGCCAGATTCTCCGGTGCCCAGCACCTTGTGCCGCCGTTTATACCAGCGCAGAGTGAGTGCAGATCATCGCTGCTCTGATCTGCTTGGCACTGTGTAAACGGGGAAGGGCAGCGAACAGCTCGGCCCCCGCAGTCGGACGGGAAAGGGAGCCGGCTCTGCAGCCGGAGGCGCGGCGTTTCCCGCACCCGCTCAGCGTGGAGCGCGCGAAAGGCCGTCGTGCAGAGACAGCGGTGTGGGCGGCAGCCTGGGCTCCCCACTGTGAACGTAGCGAGGGTTGCGGATGAGGTCGTGCTTGGGCAGGCAGCCTGGCGCCCGCACTGCCGTGGCTGCACTGCTGTGTTTAGCGCTCTAGCTTGATCAAAACTAGCGTCCGTGGGTCTCTCCAAGCCGGCCACTGCTCCCCTCCAGCTGCCGGGCGGACAGCGGTGTCAATGGAGCACCTCCCCCGAGGTCAGTCGAAATACAGGTGCTAGTGAGCCGAGAAAAGCGTCCATGGATTCACCGCATCTGTTAGTAAAACTCTGCCGGGGTTAATTCCTCCCCTCCGTGTCCTGTCAGGCCTCTGCTTCCAGCCCCAGGGTTCTGGTCTGTCTGTGTTGGCTGGGTTCCATTGCCCTGTGCTCCGAGGATCTTCTCCCCATGGGGACCTCTGGGGCCAAGTCACCTCTTCACCGTCTCTTGTTGTAAGCTGTCTTCCAGACCTTGGCCGACGCTGCTGGTGGTTTGCTCTTCACCAGCCATGTGCTCTGGGAGGTGCTGAGTTTCATCGATTTTTAGGGCCAGAAAGAATCGTTTGGATCACCTAGTCAGAGCTCCTGCGGGACACAGGACATAGAATTTCCCTGTGTGGTTTATGTACCCAGCCATTATCTTGTGGTTGAGCTAGCGCGGATTTTTCCAAACGAGCCATCCAGGCCGAGTGGGTTCCGACACTGACTCCCTTTGTGACCTTGGGTGAGCCCCTTCTCCCCTGTAACACAGAGACAGCAACACAGATTGCAGAAGATTAATTAGCTCCTATTCACCTACTGCTTGGAAGATGCAAAGTGCTAAGTATTGTAATTATTATTAATTTCTAACCCAGGGGCCGGAACCTGCCTCTGGCATATTAATGAGCCCTTAACGATGGTGCCAGAGCTCTGTCATCATTACCATGCCTGAGGTAAACCACGCACAGGCCTCTTGATCTTCATTAGGGGGAGGTGAGAGAGGGACTGCAGCGAGCAGGAGAGCTGCAGGGTTTCTGTGTTGCAGGCGTTGCCTTCCGGGGAGCCAGGAGTGCAAGGTAGCCACCGGGGAGGCTGGGAGTTCACAGAGGGAGTTGGCCAGAGCGGGGAGGGGTTGGGGGGACTTGAGGCCGTGGAGCCCTCCTCTGTGCTGAGCCTGACGTTGGCACTGGGCAGAGGCCGCATGGGACGTCTGGGCACCACTTAAACCCCACTTCAGCCCTGAGGAGACTTAAGATGTGCCGGGGCCTATCAGGGGGCATCCAGGCCTTGTCCTGATCCCATCCGCTCGGGGTGAATTTCACCCCTGGGAAAGGTTAAGGCTGAAGCCCATCTGGCCAGCGCTGCAAAGGAGGTCAGCGTATGTGGGGCCGTGCTCTTCATCTGGCCAGAAGAGTCTTATTTCATCAGCATCGTACTTCCCCTTCCCTGGAACCGATTCCTGATTGACTTACCCCAAGCCAGCATCAGCCTGGTGTGAAACAAAGGGCGTGCGTCCACACGGCCTTTTGTGTCAGTTTAACCAAAACAGTTCAGAATCACACTGAATGTGAAACTGGTGCAATTTTCTCATGTAGACAAGCTCTTAGACTAGGAATTTTTCAGGGCAGGGATTGTCTGCAGCGCCCAATGTGATGGGGCCCCGATCTCCGTCATTGTGTGTCTGTGCAGTGCCCAGCCCGACGGGGCCCTGATCTCAGTTGCTGTGTCTGGGCAGCGCCCGTCCCGACGGGGCCCCGATCTCGGTCGGTGTGTGTCTGGGCAGCGCCCGTCACAGTGGAGCTGGGATGTGGGGTGACCAGGCACTAGTGACCTACACGTACTTTAAGTCGTGTCTGGGGGCTAAAACTTGAAGGCTAGTAAGGGATGTTGGAAACCGCTGGCGCTGGCCGGGAAGCAGAGGCAGCCGGGCGGGCGGTAGGTAGGGGGAGTGTGTGTGTGTGTGTGTG